GATTCTAATAGGCATTTATAAAATCATTTAAAGGATTATACAATAATGTTGAAATGTATGCATATTTTTTTTTTCATTTTCCACAGTATTTATGGCAAAATATACAACTGTGTGGGTTAAAAAAATTTTTCCACATAGATAGAGTATTACTTTAAATACATTTTGGTGTAGACATTTTATTAATCCTGTCAATGAAATTTGTTTGGCTTAACAGCATCATGTGGCTTTGAATACAATATCACTAAAATTGACAGTAACATGAAATTTGAATCCTTTTCTTAATTAAAATAAAAAATAAAACATTCAATAAATTTATTTTTAACCAAAAAATATACAAAAATCACACAAAACACTAAAATAAATATCAGTACATCAAATTTTTAATTTACATAAGCAAGTCTTATATTATTTTCAGAGAGATGAAAATCTATGTGGGGAAATTGAATGGGAACAAGAAAAATTGAAATATGTAGAATATAAAAGCATTGACTTATAAAGAACATAAAGAGCATTGAAGAAACATTTATAACTTAAATTATTGTAGTTTAAACAATATCCAATTCAATAAACTTCTGGCACCTAAATGTTGACCTTCTGAAAATGTGATGAATGAATAATTTATTTTTTTGATCAGAAAATTGTTTATTTTTTAAAATGTTTTTAATCCAAAATATATCATGAAATAAATAATTCACATTAACAAGTAGTGCAAAGCTATTATTAGGTAATCTATGGTTTAATTCGGCAGTGACCAACTACAGCCCATGATTATTTATTAATCGGCCCATCAAAGTATTAAATCAGAATTAAAAAAAAAAAGACCTTTAAATTTCAAAATTTAACATTCATATTAAAATAAAATTATTATACTTTTTATTTTTTTCTCATTTATAACAATCAATAGGTACCTAATAAATGATTAAACATATTACTGTACCTATATTAAGATGTACCTACAAAAAATTAAGATATTCTATTTACTTAAAAGTAAAAGTTTAATATTAAATTATTCTATTCACAAAATAGTTAAAATATGAACTTATTAAAACCAAGCTACTTAGACTTTACTTTACTTAGGAAGTCTATTGTCAATCAAACAATTTTAATCTTATAAATATAAATTATAATTAGTGCCAACATTTGTGGCTTCAACTATTTAGATTATATTAACCTAGCCAATACTAGAACATATCGAATAAAAAATAATTAAAATTGAATACATAACTTTACTAAAATTAATACAATTTTCAATAAAATACAAATATTTTCAATGATGA